AAGTCCACTTGCCCTCCTTGCTCGGCACCTGCGAGGACCAGGCCACCCAGTGTGGTCCCAGTGCCCTGGGCCTGTCATTACAGCCCCACACAAGCTGAGGCCACCCCGACCCCCACTTGCCTGACACCTCTGCCTCCACAGCCTGGCTGCCTCTTGCCCCACAGAGGCCAACCTGTCTCCACTCAGACAGGCTAAGACGTATGTACCTCCTGGGGGCGCTGTAACTACAAGCTGAGACAGGGTCTCTCTCAGCAAACCCCTACAAGATGAGCTAACCAGTGAGCACACAGCCCCTGGCCAGCACACAAGGGGACACGAGAGGAGCACACTGCAGGCTCCCAGCATGCCTGCCCAGCATGAGTGGGGATGCTGAGCCTACCTGAGGACCAGGTGGGAAGCCAGGGTCACAGCCACGTGGCTCCAGAGGGAACAGGAAGCAGTGTTGTTCCTCCACAGCACCATGAGGGTCCGGGCTGGCCCACCTAGTGCCGCTCCCTGCTCTGGACAGCATGGTGGCTGCCTGTGGCCAGGCCTCTCCCATGGGACCAAGGCCTGGGCCCCTTGCCTGAGGCTTCCGGAAGAGGCTCCCCAGCCCTAGCATGGCCGCAGGGCGGGCGAGGAACTCAGCCTTGGCGAGGAACCCGAGAACGCCTGCAGGCTGGCTTCTGTCAGCAGCTGAGGACAAACAACAGGTGCGCAGGGCCGCCCGTGGGGAGGGCCAGGTGCAGCCTACGCCTTGCTCCAGACAAGATGCCAACAGGAAGCAACAGTGCGGGCAGCGACCAGACACCCCAACAGACACCCCAAGGGAAAATCGTGAGGGCCAGGCCCCCATGGCCTGATGGCTCTGAGCCGAGCCCACCCCACCCGTGGGCCTGCTGCCCACACACCTCTCCCCCGCCTGGAGCACTCCGCGGCAACCTCCTCACCACCTCACCCCTCCCCAGCAGGCCTTCCCCAGCAGACCATGAAAAGCCACCTACACACCCTGCCGTCACCTGCAACCCCGTCCTGGCCTTATTTTTCATTTTGAATTATGAAATCATAAGACTCCTCAGAAATTTAAAGGTGCAAAGGGGGCCCATGTTCCCTCCCCAGGATGGCATCCACATAAGCAAATGCACTTTCCCATGCAGGAAACTGCACAGGGCTGGGACCTGGACACCAGGCCCAGGTTGGACTTCCCCAAGTTTGGCACGTGCTGTTTTTGCAGATCTCATATCTGACACGCAGAGGTCCGCCTAGCCAGCTGCGCTCACCACGCAGGCTGCTCGCTCCCACAGAGGCACACAGCCGCTTCCTGTCCAACTGTGCTCACCACCAGCCCTGGCCACGCCAGCAGAGATAGACAGACGTGGGCACCTGAGATCCAGCAGGGACCAGGCCTTCCTGCACAGCAGGTACCCGCACGTACCGAGTGTGCAGATGGTTCTAGAGCAGCTCTTTCTGTTCTCTCCATCCCCATTTGTGCTCTGCTCAGGCCCTCGGCTGGGTGATGGTGAGGGCCACATGTCTCCACCTGGGCACTAGGCACCCTCCTGTGGAGGAGGCAGGGGTCACCAAAGTGACAGGTTCAGTGGGGAGGCACATGCCAGGGACTCTACACAGGCCAACAGTCTGGCTCATTCATTCAAGAGCTGCCACATGACCAGGAGGTGTGGAGCTGGGGAGGGAGCTCAGATCCCTGTCTCGGGCTAACCCTGGTGGTGAGCCCCAGAAGTCTCCCATGGCTCCAAGCTGCTTCACAGCGGCAGACAGGTCAACAGACCTCGCTGCAGGCTGTTTGAGACAATGTGGGGCAAATCCCAGGCTTCCTGGGGCCAGGCCCTGATCAATGAGCTCTGCACATGGGTGCTAGCTAAGTCCTCAAGTAATCCCACTGAGTTGGCACTGTCACTGTCCCCACTACCCTAATAGGGAGGAGCCTGAGAACTGAACTGGGCCTGGCCTTCAGCTGGGGCAGTCCTGCAAGCTCTAACTCCAACACAGGTTATGCCTTATGCTCAACAGCCCCAAGACCCTGCACTGTCATCACAGACCCCTAGGGCTTGGCTCTCCACCTGGTATGCAGCAAAGGTCTCAGTGAATGGATGTCAAGTTGACAGCAAGGTCCTCTTAAGAACAGGGAAGGCGACCTGCAGAGAAGCAGCTGGCCCTTCTAAAATAGCCCCAGGAGAGGTTCCAAATCCAGCCAGGCCTGGCATAAACCTCAGCCCCTGATATGCCTTTGGTCTTGAGTACACAGATAGCCCTTCAGGCCAGGCTAGTGCTCTGCCTGCACACATGATCCCAAACTCTCCACCTCCTTTCCTGCCTGCAGGCCACTGAATGTCCTACCAGCCCCAAAAGACCCTGGGTGGGTCGTCTGCTGCAGTGTGCCTCCTCTTGTGACCTCGCCCAGACCTAGGGGCTGGCACGAGCCACCTGCCACCTATCCCAGGCAGCTCTTCCATGTGTTGGGGCTTGGCCTCTACACAGTTACACAGCAGGATCACACAGGGTGTTAAGTCCCAAGAGGACCCCTTCAAATTAAAACAGCAGCCTAAAAGGGGACCCAGGCAAACAATCAAGCACAGAAGTTCTTTGGGGATGCTCTCTAATCACAGCAAGTCCTTCTTGGCTCCCTGGGTCCCTGTAGGACCAGGCAGGCAATAGAGCGGCAGTGCTCAGCCTAAAAGTGGGTGGTGGAATCTTCAGAGCTGTCACAGGCTCAGGACTGGGGCCAGAAAAGTCTGGGAGAAGTTCAGCCAGGCATTTGCAGACTCTGACTACCCTGGATCCGGGTCCCATGGTGCCTGAGGCCATTGCAGGCCACCCCATTGCCAGCCCCAAGCAACAAAACTGACTGCTGAGTCAGGCCCAGCTCTGCCCGGGGGCCCAACTGTTTGCAAAAACAAAGGGGACGCTGACAGCCCAACTCTCCAGCCTGGCCAGGGGCATGCAACAACTGGAGCTCACAGCTGACCCCACACCAGTTCTGCAGCCATATCACCGGGGCTTCCCGGCTGCTGGGCTTGGGTCTTGGCAGTGCCTAGAGGAGGCAGCACACTCCCAGCATCTACACTCACTGGACAAGAAGATCCATGTGGGTCTCCATCCCTTGGCAACCTCCAAATAGAGTGAGGCCTCTGCCCCGTCACAAGATTAAATGGCCAGTCCCGCGGTCTAGACACATAACAGTGCTGCCTGAAGCTGCGTGCATGAGGCAGTGAGACTCGTGGCAGAGCCTCTAACTCCCTAGACAGGTGGCACCCACAGGCTCAAGATGGCAAGGGGAAAAGTTAGGGTGCCCTTCCTACTCCCACAAGAGAGCAACCAAAGAGAGTGGGTTCCAGAGCCAGCCACCTGGATAAAACCTCATCCCGGATACTTGTCATGTTGCCCCCTGGACAGGTTGCTATCCTTTCTTTAACTTGTCTCTGCCTCAGTATCCCCCATCTATAAAATGAGGACAATACCAGCTATGACCCCAGAAGTTTGTGTGGGGAGTGTGCTGTGTTTAAAGGGCACTATTCCCACTTCCCAGATGAGAAAACTGAAAAGAATGCTACTGGCCAAGCTGGACCCTGGTAAGCAGTGGCCCTGACTTGAACCTAGGTCTGTGGGCTCCAGAGGCTGAGTGCTGACAGTTCCTAGGGTCCCACAGGCAGCTGAAAGGATAAGCAGAGCCCAGGCCTTGGGGGAAGGCCCTGCCCAATGTTGGCAGGAGCCGGCAGGTGCTAAGTCACACATCCTCCTCTCTGAGCAGTGAAGTCACACCTGGACCACAGTAGGCCAAGTGAAAGCCAAGACGGCCCTCCCTGTGTGGCCTCAACCCCAGAGGAAAGCCTGGGATGAAGACACAAAGGCTACGGTGTCCCCAGGCAGCTTTCAAGATGGCTCTGAACGTATGAAAAACCTCCATGTGTGAGAAGGAAGCCCATAACCATTCATACTCTGTCCTCCAAGCTCCCTACAGATGCTGAGGGCGGAGCGCATGTTGGAAGGGTCCAGGCTACATTCTGCCACCTGCAGCTCCTGTCACAGCACAGGAGCAAGGGAGCCACAGTGCTGCCTCACAGGGCAAGATCCCCTAAGGTGGGCAAGCAGCACTCTCCCCTGGGTCATGTAATCTACCAAAACGCAGAGTAGCCTGAGTCAGTCCCCAGCCTCAACTGTGTGAATGAACGCATGTGCGTGCGCACGAGACTCAGGTACAAAATCCAGAGGCCAGAATTTGGACTCAGAAAGTTTTAAGAAACAGCAACCTTGTCTAAGGAGCAGCCATCCCCAGGTACCCCAACCACATCAACAACATCAAACAGCCCCCATGAATCACTGTGCTGGGAAATCCAAGCAGGTGGAGCGTCCTAGGCACCCATACATCACACAAGTCCTTCCCCACCCAGCTGGGAGGTCTTGTCAGACATTGGCAGGGAGGGGTGGGATGTGGGAGTCTTTTTAGGATGAAGGAAGATAGGACAGAAAGCTCCAGAATGAGTCACAAAAGGCCCATAGGCCAGGCCACTTGACCAGCGATACCTGGTCCCTGTCACATCTCACCTGCTGCAGCATTCACAAAAATCAGAGCCTGGTCAGCAGTGACCCACTGCTACCACCTTTCCAGCACTGGAGGTCAGAGGGGTACCTGGGAAACAGCCCAGGCCACTGTCCCTAACACTATCAACAAACATGGAATGAGTGCCACCCTGCTCCAGGTACACCCTACAGCTTCCAGACGGCTGTTATCCCCATTGTACCGATGAAGAAACCTAGACACAGATGGCCTGTAAGCCTCCCAAGGTCACCCAACCACAGGTGGGGAGTGGGGTTGCACCAGGCAGAGGCTCCAGGGCTCATGCTCCCCTTTCTGTGGTGTGACCTCTGCCAGGGATAGAGAAATGCAATAGATCTCCTCCTACCTCCTCTCCCCCAAAACACAGTCATATTTCTGAAAACTGTCATTTCCCCAGCCTTTCAGACCCACTTCATCTCCAACCAAGCCAGCCACATTGACTCACCCATAAGTCCGCTGGACAAACGTGGGGTGTAGCTGCTGCACGCCAACGGCAAAGCCTAGAACGAGAGAGCAGTGAGGGACACTGCCTGCACATGCAAGGTACCCAAGCCCACATGCAGGGAGGCAGAGCCATGCAGGCCACACACAAAGGCAACCAGCTTTCTGTCCCTGCCCACTTCCACCACGGCCCCACTCCAACACTTGGCCAAAGCAGGCCCAGGGCCCCGTGTGGCAGCAGCCTCTCTGTATTGGCCTCCTGGCCTTCAGCCCTGTGGCTGACTTCCTCCTGCAAGGAGGGCTGACAACTGGGGTGATGTACCCTCCCCACCCTGTCCCTCAGGGCCACATACTGCTAAGAAGGGGCCAAGCTCCTTAGCTGGGGGTGACTGCCCTGTGACAGTCCTGCAGGCACATGATAGCTGACTGCCACTCCCGGGGAAGGGGGGGGCCTTTTTCCACCCAGCAGATACCAACACTCAATATAGAAACTGAGAAGAGCAGGGAAGGAAAACAGCTCTCACCCGTCTGCAAGCTCCGGGGCTTGGCACCCAGATATGCCAGGTTCACATTGGCCTTCCGCCCATCGATGATGGGATTGGGGTCTTTGCAAGCCCTCTCAGCTGCTGCCCGGTCGGCCATGGTCACCTGGAGAAGCACAGATGAGACGGTCAAGGACCTCCACTGCTGAGCTGAGGAAGTGGGGAAGGGGCAGAAGATCACCCTGACACCAGGCCACCCCTCCTCTCTCCCCTTCCTCCTAGAATCTGTTACTCAGGACCCTTGGGCCAACTGCCCTCTGACCCCAGCCCAGGGCCCTCCCCCAGGCTGCCCCCTGGATTCCAGCTCCTCCCTCAAAGTTCAAGTGCTGGGAAATCTTGCCTTCAAGGACAGAAACTATCCCCTGGGAGTAGGGCAAAAAAAACGAACCCCCTGGGCGGGGGTTGGGGGGCAGGCCCACCGGTGGGGCTCCGAATTTCCCCATGGGAGGAGTCGGCACCCTCCAGTCGTTCGGAAGTAGGAAGCGTGTCTTCCGTCGTTTGTACTTAAACTGACGCTGACTCCGGGCGGCTGAGGGGCTGCCGGGCCGTGGGGGAGGCCCAAGGGCCCGCGGCACAGTGGACCCGCGGGCTGCGCCAGAAAAGTCCCGGCGGGGCGTCGGCTCGGCCCTCTAGGCGCTCCGTCCTAACCGAACCCGGCGGTCTGCCCTCCGGCCGCTGTGGGGGCGGGGAGCGGGCGGCAGGTGCGGGCGCGCGGCGCCGGGCGGCCCCGCGAGGCGGCCGGCGAGCGCCCGAATTGACTCCGGGCCCCGGCCGCGGCGAGGGGCGGGGCGGGGGAGGGCGGCCGCCGACACTTACGAAGCCGTAGCCGCGGGACTTGCCGGTCTGGCGGTCGGTGATGACCACGGCCTCCTCGATGTCCCCGAAGCCCTCGAAGTACTTCCTGAGCGAGGCGTCGGTGGTGTGGTAGGGCAGGCCGCCCACGAAGATCTTGGTGAACGTGGTGTCCTTCTGAGAGCCGTGCATGGCGCCGGGGGCGGCCGGGGGCCGCGGGAAGCCCGCGCTCGGGGCGCACGGCGCGGGCTGCAGCAGCATAGGGGGCGCCCCACCGCTACGGACCTGGGCCGCGCGGGGCTGCGCTCATGGGGGGCAGCGAGGAGCGCGTGGGGCGGCGAGGGTGCCCGTCCAGCCGCCAGGCCCGTCCGCTCGCGCGCCGCTCCCGCCGTGCGCGCCGCGCTGCGCTCGGCACCGGCGCTGCGCGGACTCTGCGCCCAGGCGCCCGCCCCCGGGCTTTGTAGCCGGCCCCGCCCCCGTCGTCAGGCCCCGCCCATCTAGGGCCCGCCCTAGGCGCGGGGGCCGCCGGGAAGTGTAGTTCCGGTCCCGCCCAGCCGCGCCCTGGCGTGCCTGGAGCCGGGGGCACCAGGGCTTCTTAGCTGAGTACTTGCTGCACACGCGCCAGACCCAGTACTGGGCGCCGTACCCAGACCGACAGCCCAGGCCCTGCCCTCATGGATTAGATGTAACCGATTATTAGCTAGCTACTTAGGGGCCAACAGCATAATCATATTAAAAGTTTCACTGGAGGAGTATTTATCAAGGCCCCTAGGGGACAAGCCCTCTGGGACCAGGGTACAGCAAAGCACACCTCCTGGCCCCTCCCAGCTTCTGTGAAGAAGTAATTAAACAGTAAGTACATGATATACATTCCGGAGGAATTAGATGAGAGCTGCAGTGGAGCTGGGCTCAGTGGTCCCAGAGGCCACCCCTGAAAGGTGAGCTGGGTACAGAAAGGTCTGGGCCTCTCTGAGCTTTAAAGCTCCAGCCAGCCCCACTGGGGCTGGTGTTAGGGATTGTTTTGGGGCTCCTTTAAGGGAAGAGCAAGCAGAGGGCTGATCCCTGTTCTCTCTGTCCCTGTCCCCAGACATAAAAAGGAGGCCCATACTGGAGTTTCCTTGGGACCAGGCAGTTCCATCTGCAGAATTCTTGGGGCCCATGCAAAAATCAAACATAGGGCACCTTGTTCAAAGGTTATTACAAACTTTAGCTTGGCAACAGCCTGGAAGGAAGTTCTGGGTTTTTTGAGGTCACTACAGGCCCATGAAGGACCCTGGTTCAGCACCCCCATCTTATGCAGCTGGGTCTGGGGCTTACATCCTCTGCATCTCCAGGCACTGCTATTGGGACCTGTGCGAGTGGGGTCCCTCCTGGCCCCAGCCCTGTGGCATCCTCTTGACACAGTGGGACAGAGGTAGGATCTGTGGAAAGTGGCCCCCCATGGCTGAGGGGCACAGTGAGGCTACGTGGTTCAGCCCCATCTTTCCAGTGTCTGTCCAGCTTCTCTGCCCAGGCTGTGTTGGACCCAGTGGCCCCACCCTAGTCCCCTTCACATGGAAAGTGTACTGGAGACACAGCCTTCTGTCTGGCCTCTTTTCCTGCCTGCTGTTCCCCAGCTCTGGCCTCTGGGGCCTGTGCCTCACACTTGCCATTCACCAGCTTTTCCTTCCCCTCCTGTACTTTCCGCCCCCAGCACGTACACATTTGCCTGCTTGTTTGAGCACCTCCTGGCCTGCCAGGTGGGTGCCATGAAAACAGGGACCGTAGATGTGTTGCTCAAGCTGTAGGCCTAGCAACAGAGGCCCTCAGACAGTGCTTCTGGAGTGAATTCAGGATGGAATGAACTGGGCCAGGAGAGCTGGGGACCAGCCAGGAGCCCCTCCAAGCTCTTGGAAAACTGATTAAATTGTAACCTTGACTTGCCTCCTGGAGGCCCAGGAAGACAGTGGCTGTCCTGTTGTGTGATCTTGGGCCTGCTGGCTCCTTTAACAGTCTCAGTGCCTTCCCTTGGCCTGACTGAAGCCCCCTACAAGTCCCAGCACTGTCACCTTCCTAACCCTCCCCTGCCCCACAGGGCACCAGCAGCTGCAGCCAGGGGGAGGGGGGTTGGGCAGGGAGGAGCCTCCTGTCTGAAATAGGAGCTGCCCCAGGACAGTTCCTCCACACTCCACCCCCTGGCCCCTTTGGGTTCCTGCATCAGTCACCAGCCTCTCCACCTGTCAGGTTGCCCCACATCCCCAGTTCACCAGTACTCAGCCATTCATCCAAACATGTACTCATTAATGCACAGAGTTCTAGGCCCCAGGGACACAGCAAGCAGGAAGCGGAGGTTCCCATGTTATAAAGGGGTGAAGAGACAAAGGGACAACGAATGACTCTATGGATGCACGAGCTGACGAATGAATGACTGACTGAATATCAGGCAGTGTTCATATTTAGGTAAATTTCCCCAGGCAGGTACTGAACAGGGTGCAAAAACAAGGGGCAGGGGAGAAGGCAAAGAGTGAGCAGTGTCCTTTAAAGCCAGGGACAACATCTGGAATTGATGGTCACAAGAGTGAGTCAGTGCCATGAAATATTAGGAACAGAGAATGCAAAGGCTCGGAGGTGAGAGACACAGCTATGTGGCCAATTCCTCACATGTCACTGATAATAACAATAATGATGGGAGTCAGCGCCTTTGAGTGCCTGTGAAGGGGCGGGTCCTGGGCGAGGTGACTTAACCTTTGCCATAAGTAGGCACTGTGAGCCAGTTTCAAGAGAAGCCGCTGGTGCTCAAAATCCCTTGGGCAAGGCTGCTGAGGTCAATGTGGCCGGTCCACTGCAGAATCCCATCTTGTCCTCAAACAGCTTTTGGAAGGGGACTCGTCTCCCCACTTGGGGGGCTGAGCCGTGGAACCTCAGACAGGCTAAGTGAGCTGCCCACACAGCCATGCGGGGCAGCAGTCAGGGCAGAACTCGAGGGTGGCGCACAACTCCGTGGCCCTCAGCGTCCCCAGCCAGCCCAACCCACCAGTCATGAACTGTCACCTCCTTGCTGGGCACAGAGGACCTGGGAGAGACCGTTCTCAACACAATCAGGACACACCAGCCTCTGGACTTCACTAGTCCCGGTCCCTCAGAGTCCACAAGGCCTGCCCCATGACCATGGTGGCAAAGGCCATTTGTCAGAATGCCACCCTGACATGGCTCTTGATGGTATGGCTATGAACAGCCTGCCCAAGAGTAGATAGAAGGGATGGGGCAGGCTAGAGCCAGGCCCCTGGACACCGCCCACAACCCTCGGTGACAGGAGACAATTATAGCACCTGTCACATGGTCAGCAGAAGACTCTGGCTCTGCCGGGGGAGCCCTTGGCACAGGGGGGCCCACTACCCATCACACCACCCCTGCAGCACCGCCACCACTGGCCACTAACTTGGGGGTTCTTGCTGGGGCTCCCCTGGCTTCTCAGTCGGGGGAAAATTGTGTCCCATGATCCCAGGAAAGGCTGGTAAGGTGAGAATGAGAGAGGGGACCAGTGACGAGGGGCTGGGCCCCTAAAGAAGCGAGAGGCAGGCCTGAGGGCAAGCACGGCACTGAGCAAACCAGATCCAAAGGCCACTGGTAGACCCAGGAGGCCCCTGCTCTTTAGAACTTCAGCTCAGCCCAGTGAAGCGGCTTAGGTCAAGTCTCCCGCGTTATCAGCACCTCTGCAAACTTCCCTGAGCACGTGGACACAGCCAGTTTGGCAGTTGATGTTGGTGGAGACAGAGCCCCTTTATAAAAGCCCTGGCTCTGGCAGGCCCTGTGGGCTGGTGACAGTAGTCTCCCCCCCCCCCCGCCCCGCCCCTTGCTCCCCACCCACTAGCTCAAGAGGGTGGGAAAGTAAAGAGTTCCTTTGCCCGCCTCCCTTGTGGAAAGGGGTGACCATATCATGTCACCCTGCTGTGGCCAGTGTGATCCAAGTGGAAGTCTGATGGGGCCCCTGAAGGCTTCCACTCTCCTGCTGAGAGAGAGAGAGAAAGGCTGTTGGTACCAGTCCCTGGGCATTCTTTCTGCCTGGAGATTGGATGGACCTCCGAAGCTGTGACCAACGTTTTGTGATGCTTTGGCAAGATCCAGAGACACTGGTCCTGAAAACACTAAAGCCAGAGGACATTTGGCAATGGCTGGAGATGTTTTTGGTCGTCAGGACTTGGAGAGGGAGTACACCCACCGCCTCAGGGTCAGGGAAGCTGCCAGCACTTGACAATCGAGGAGCTCCCCACCCCTCCCCCACCAACAAAAATTATTTGGCCTCAAATTATAGTAATTCTGAGACTGAAAAACCCTGTGCTGACCCAACACTGACAACCAGACCCTGTTATGTGTTTGGGCCACTGTCAGGCAGGTGTCCCTGGGGACAAGAAGCAGCTTTCCCAAGTGGTGGAGATGCAGCTTGACAGCTGCTACTCAGCAGTCGGCAGGGCCTGGAAGCAGATCTTCCCTCCCCACCTTCCTTGCTCAGGGTCAGGTGGCGTGGTGGGCTGGGAGTCAGCCTAGACTCTAACCTTAGCCCCCCTCAGTCATGACCTTGAGCTGGCTCCCGCTAAAGCTTCAGCTCCTCTGCACACTGGGGACAACATCAGTGTCTTCTGGGCTGGGCGGGGGAGGTAGAAGGGGCAGTCCGCAGGTGTGTGGCCCTGAGTTGGACCCTCCTGGGTGAGGCCTGTAGTGGTGGCTGCCTGGCTTCCACTCTGGAGTTGTCCCTCCTCCCCTGAGGACAGATCCTTGGGCTGTGACAGATGGAAAAAGCAATACAGGTTTCCTTACCTCAAAGCTGGAGACAGGTTGCAGGAGGGGAGTGTGCCGGCCACGTCCACTCAAATGCAGTCCCAGAAGAGTCTCGCGGTAAAACACCAACCCAACAAAGAGGGGGCACCCAGGAGCATGGGGGCTATAAGCCAAAGCTGGGCCACCAGCCCCAACTGCAGAGCGCCTATCACCTGGCAGGGAGGGCAGAGAGCAGGTGGCCTCAGCCCATCCCCTGCACTCACCATACTGCAGGTGAGGACCTCTCTGGGCCTCGGTTCCCTCAGCTCAAGGTGGGCGTAATGACAGTAACCTCTTCGCAGGGCTTTGGGAGCTGGAATGAGTCGCTACCCAGCTAACATCAGCCTGCCCACCCCCAGCAGGCCTCCTGCACACTGGCACCTGCCCACCTGGCTCCAGCCCTTGCTCCCTCTCAGCCCAGGCTGGGGGCAGAGTCACCTCCACCCAGCACTCCAGTCCAACCTCACCTGCCCATGCCTCCTCCCAGGAGACTCCCAGAGTTCCCCTGGGCCAGGGAGCTCTTGGCAGCCTGCTGAGACCTGAGAGCCCTTCTCAGAACCATGGCTTTGACACTTGAAAATGT